TTTGTTAAAATCATTCCATTATTTATTGAGGTGTGTGTAGATAAACTATGAATTGCAAAAATTTTCTCAAATATTTTGTTACAAAATTTAAGACAATAAATCTAAATCAAAAACAAATATTATTCCTAGAAATCCTTAATGCATTTTACCCCATAGTTTTAGAATCCTTTATTTGTTTCTTAAGATAGTATTTTGTATGAAAATAATAAATAGCATTTAAAATCCTTAATTAGAATATTTTGAGGTATAAGATTATGACGTGATTTTTCTTTAACTATTTCTATTACCAATTTTTCCTAACCATATAAAGCCTAAATATTGAATTTTTTAGTAATAATTGTCTTTCCAGGCAATTTTTTGCAATTTTTATCTAGGAAATTAATTTTTATAAAAGACAAATTTCAATTTTTTTTTGTGTAGTAGATATATATATATATATATATATAGATAGATATAAATACATCTATATATATACATATAAAATACATCTATCTACTTCTCAACAACCATACATAATAATATAAAACACATTATATTAATACATACAAATATCATTCATATATTAAATCATCTATTATCCCTTATCCGACTACTATCCCAATTATGCACTTATCCTTACATCACACCTGTCCTAATATAACACTAGGGCAAATTGTCAAAAATGCAAATTGCACGTACAAATCGTCCTTTAACTTTGACCTTGACACTAGTTACTCTTCGGGTTGTGCGAGAGTATGACTTGCACTTCGGCCTCGGGGCGAAAATGTATCGAAATCGGAGTAAAAATATTAAAATTAATAGGTAATAATTGATAATTAATTAATCTGATAATGGACAAATGTGTGTTGGTTAATTAATTAGTGTTTGGTGTAGTTTTGGTTTAATTTGGTATTAATTTGTGGCTGTAATGTAAGTTAGAAGTCCTCGGTGTTATGTCGGTGTCCTTTACCCTCGTGTGTTAAAAATTCACGTGTTAATTTTATTTAATGGTAGATAAATGTGGTTTAAAAAGTTTTTAAGTGTTTTTAGGGTAGTTTTAGTTAAATTTAGTGTTAGTTTGTGTATGTAGTCGTGTATTTTTTTTTTATTTAAGTGGGTTTAAGTAAGGTTTTAAGTGGTAGTGTAAAGTATTATGCAAATTTTTAGCAAATTCCATGGAGGATGTCTTGGAAGAGAACATTGCGCAAGGTAGTAAGAGTTTTTTATATATGTATATATATATATATATATATATATATATGTGTATGTATATATATATATACAGTGGCGTCGGAACCAAATTTTTGATGGGTGGGCTCGTTTTTTTTTTTTTTTTTTTAGATAGGCAGCCAGTGGTCTCGTTTTTTTTAGAGATATTAGCCCATATAATTTTTTGAGATTGATGGGTGGGCTGAGCCCCCCCATCAAAATTCATGGGTGGGCTCAAGCCCACACAGCCCACACGGTTCCGACGCCACTGTATATATATATATATATACATATATATATATATATATATATATATGATTTAGTTCTAATTTTTTTTATTAATTATTATGTTACCATATATGTGTATGATAAACAAGTATATAGTATAGTGATTCGAATTTTCAAGGACTTTTTTGTTATTTTTGCAGATTTTTGCGAAAGATATCCTGGAGGAGTCTATTGGGAAACAGAATAAGGTAGGATATATTTTATAATATATATATATATATATATATATATATATATACGTGTATATATATACGAGTATATATAACATAATTATATTTTCGAAATATCCGTATTCTGCCGATTTATTAACTTCCCGTAGGGTAGTTATAGTAATGGGCCGAAAATCGAAAATGAAAATTTTTGCATTTCTCGACGTTTTGAAGGTTTCTGAACATTTTTAAGGCATATCACAGAAACTAAATGGATGTGTGTGTGTCTTTTGTATGTCCGCATTTTTGCGTCCACGTTTTCGGGCGCACGGATTTGAATGGTTTAGAAAACATTTGATACCTATTAATAAAGAAATGTGCTGATTAGTTTATGACAAAGGCAGGTCCACCCGCTACGGAGATACGGAGCAAAGAGTGCAGAAAATAGAAATCGAGTTTTTGAGAGAACGGAGCATCCGATTTGTATGAACCAAAAAACATTCAGTTCGTAATGACGGGGAAAAGTGGTTAATAGTTTTTGGCAAACGTAGGCCCAGCGGTTTCGGAGATACAGAACTAAGAATTAAAAAAATGGCAGTTCTTGAGAGAACTAAGCGTCCGATTTGATTGATTCAAAGAACTTTCAGCTTGTTTGAACAAAATAATTGATTTTGAAAAAAAAAATCGTATAATTTTTTTTTCTTTTAGTTTTTTATTTGTATATCAAAAATAATTCAGATTTTGTTTTTAATTCTGACTTCTAATATACTTTAAACAAATAATTTCAATTTTGCAATTCAGTTTATATAATTCTTATAAATATTAGACAATGTTACAATATTAATAATAATCTATTTGAAAACATTCAGTATTCCTCGAACATTTTGTTACGGTACGGGAAGTTCCAGCAATTTGCCTTAAGGCACGGTGCCATACACCCCACTAGTTTTTGTCTTGTTTTACTTTTATATTATTAATTTTTGTTAATTAATTTTATCTTTCAAATTCAACGCGAAATCATACATGACTAAATAATCCATTAAAAAAAAACAGATGAAAAATATGTTTTTAAAATGAATATTTCACTACTGAGAAATAGTATGACTATTTCTATATGTTTTTCACAAGTTTTTCTCAATTTTCTCCGAAACTATAATACTAGGTTTAAAATCATGTAGCAGAGAAATATTTGTAATAAAAATTGCAAATAAAAGGATGTATAATATGATACACGTGTCCATATAATTTTCGTGAGATTATCTAATTCAAATAAAGTATCTAAACCATTTTGTTACTTTCTAAGATTTTTCGTAAAAATCTTTACAAATAAATTATATAATATTACAATTAGAGTATCTTAAAAATTTCTAATAATTATATATTTCTACAAAACAACTTTGATTAAAAATTTAAAAGTTTTTCGTGGCCTCTTTGTTAAAAATGTTCTTTTCTATTTTGATACCTGTCCGCCGGACAGCTTGATATCAATCTTTTTTTTTTAAATATAGAAAATAGTATATTTTAAAGCAAATATAGCTTTACAAAATTACAAATAATCAGTACCAACGAATTTTTAATAAAAGTTTATAATAAATTGGGACAAAGGCCGCCAACCCTTGGGTTGCCGTCTAAATTAGTCAAGGAATTGGCAACCAAAAGCGAAATACATTCCAAACTAAGATATTCTCCAAATTGTTACTTTGTGTACTAAATAATATATTTTTTGAGAATTTTGATTTTTTAAAAAATCTTGGTTTGTTTTAATTATTAACAAGACTATTACCAAAAGTTAAATAAAACTATCAGCATAAGTATTTTCCTAAAAAGTATCAAGCAAAATATTCGAGCTTCAAATTGTATTTAAAAAGGGGCCTATATTCGTATGATTTAGTACTAACGAACTTACAAAATGCTATGTATTTGCGGTGCAATCAGGCGTTTTACACCTAAAACCTGACTTCACGTATCAATAGCAAAAAATCAAAAAGATGCATTTATGAAAAAATTGTTATTTCATTGAGTTTTGTAGGTTAGGTTTCATGTGTAAAACGCCTCATCGCACAGCAAATACATAGTTCATTAATAGTTCTCGACTACTAACTCATATGAAGATAGACCCGTTACCATAACATTCATATTTTATCGAAAAATTAGACCCACTGTAATTTATTATATATATATATATAGAGATATATATATATATATATATATATATATATATATATATATATATATATATATATATATAACTATAACAATAGTTAAAATTTCAACTAAATTTCTATAATTAAGGAGTGGATTTTAAAAGGAAATGTTACTAGAATGTATTTATTCATAAAATTTATTTGGTTTACAATATAAAATTTATTTAAAACACTATTTCATGCACTTTGCCTTCAATACAAAAATATGCAAAAGTTTTGCATTCTATTACATAACAACAATAAATGTCCTTGTATTCTTGGTGTCATTTTGTTCTGATTTGTTTATTTTGGAAACAACACAGATCTAGAATTTGATTCATAACATTATATATGATGTGGTTGCAAAATTCCCATTTTATTAATTTTGACATTCTTAGTTTTTGCACCTAATCCTTAGTTTATGAGTAATTAAATTTAAATATTTATACGTTCAATAAATGTAATATCTTGCTCCTAAATTTTTAATACTAATCCAAAACTAATGCAATATTTACCTTTAAAAATAAATATGCAATATTTACCTTTGGAAATACATTTATCAATACATTCTGAAGTTTAGTCAAATAGTAATTGTTTGAGAATAAAAAAACTTAATTCAATAATATTTAATGTTTTATTCCCATTGCGCGCGTTTCTTCGATATAAAACAAGAAAACTTTTGAATCCAATATAAATCTTTATATTATAATTGTTTCCTATATTTACTAGATTTTTATTGACTGTTATCGAAATACATTACATAAATATCAAATAACAAATGTAAGATTTTTACTTCACAGTTTGTTTTTACAACTAGAAAAATAATTTACAAAACAATTTATAGGATACATTCTGTATTAAGATAAAAAAGTTTTGACATTTTGCTATTTTAATAGATAAATAAATGAACAAAAATAAACAGAACAAAAATTTGCTATTTAAGAAATGATTTAATGGAAAATGATTTAAAAATATCTCAGAAGAAACCTTCAAGGTTTGCGAAGAGATATTTCAAGCATATAGGACTTTAAGATGTTTCTAGGATTTGTGGGATTTATTTGGAGCAGATTTAGTAATCTCAAAGAGGAAATGAAGTTCTTAAGTATACTTATAGTGCATTAAAAAAACCTTATATATATATATATATATATATATATATATATATATATATAAATACATAATCTGTACAAACCTTATCTCTGGCTTCAATATCACATTTGGCCTGAACAAGGGCTTCTATGACGTCACAACTGCCCCTGCAGGCTGCCCAATGTATAGGGGCTCTTCCATACTAAAAAAAAAATTGATAAAAATAACTATAAATATAAAACTTTACTACGACTCGATCATTTGATATCTAAAACTAATAGGATAAAAAAACACAGATTTTAGCAAATACTAATACTTATTAGAGTGATATTACTATTACAATTGATACAATTTTTGTAATTTTATTAGTAACACTTTTTTTTAAAGAATTATAAAATGTCATGTAATAAAAATTTGTGATAAATATATAATATAAACATATAATTATGAGAAAACTTATTATACCCGCGCGTATTTTTAAAATGGGTGAGGTGTAGTGGATATACCCCACTTTTATTGTTTGTATTTATTATAATTAGTACTAACACTTGATTTACAAACTAAAACACGAAAACAAATTTAAATATTAAATAAACTTCTTGTATTGAATTGTAGGAAACAGATATATAACTTATTCAAATCAAATTTAAAAATTTTCAATTATATATTTTTTTGTTTTATATCGAAGAAATAAGCATGATATGAATAAAACATTAAGAATTATTAAATCATTACTTTCTTTCTCAAAAATTTATATTCTGACTGAAAATTAAATGTATTTAAATTTAAATTTAAATAAATTATTTAGGATTATAAATAAAATTGTTAAATTATTACTTTTAGAAAAAATTGTGTGGTTTTGTTCTTATTTTATTCTACTATTATTATTAATGTTATTGCTTTAGTAAAGAATGGTCAGTGTGTAATTTATACTGGGTGGTTTTTGGTTCTAAAAATACCTGGAATTTAATTTAAATATTATTGTTGGCATTCTGCCATATGTGTGGGGTGTTTTAATTATGGTACTAAATTGAAGAAAAATTTAAAACATATTGTAGAACGCGCAGTATGTTTTCGAATGAAAAGTAAATATTGCTTTTGCATATGCAAAACGTACGAAGAATACTAATTCTAAGCAAAATAGTACTTTATTAACTCGCAAATAATGCAATATTACGAAATAGTATATATAATTAATATTAATATACTAATTATAGTATAGAAATAATATTTATATTTAGGAATTAATTTTCCTCATATATCAATTACCCTCATACATCATTTACCCCAGTGCGTTTGTTCGAAACTATAGCTCTAGCTGTACAGCTATATGTCCCAGTATTAATTTTATATATTCTATACATTCTATAGATTCTATAGAATGATTCTGCTATAGAATTTCATAGTCAAACATATAATATAGGATGAATAGAAGTGCTTTTTGCATTCACTCGATATATTGGCTGAATTCGAAACGCAGCCGCCGGGGATGAATTGATGAATTTGCTTGCGGATAGACGCGTTCGAAATATTAATTAATGAGAGATTCAGAGAAATTTTAGAGCAATGATAAAACTAGGTGTGGGTTGGTGAAGGAATTAAGTTTAATATGTATTGGTGTAAGGCCTTATGTTGCCCTTGAGTTTTATTTGACTTTGATAATTCTCCAAGTACGATATATAAGAAAGTTTTGCGAAAAAAATCGCATTGACACCGATTTTTAACCATTACTGTAAATTATTCATTTTTTATTTTTTGTTTGTTTTTATATTTTATTAGAATATAGATTTATTATATTTGAATATCTGCATTTTATTTTTATGACCTATTAATAAAATTGTAAGGTATTAATTTTTATTCAGTTTTTTTCGCAATTTGGTTTAGTTGCCTACAGAATTTAGCAATTGGTTTTTTCCAAATTAAATTATTATTACTATTAATTTTTTTTAGTTTTTTTTGGAATTGTTATGAATTTTCGTTAGTGTTATAAATAATGTTAGATATATGTCGAAGATTTGCATAAAAGCAATTTTTGTTTCAATATTTAGTTACAGTAATTTCCAAAATTTGCTACATTCTTTATAATACCTAGTTACATTATAAATTTATATTTTTGCAACATTCGACGTACTAATTCCTTTTTTACTTTAAATATTTATTATTTCAATTTTTTTTCAAATACTCGCTTTTGAATTTTAGATATTCAAATATTCCATTAATTTAAAATTTTATATTTTTAATATTCTCCAATTTTAAAGTTAAAAAGCTCTTTTAGAAGATTTTTGTTTAGCCCGATTTTAACATTTTAACATTTTCTACAAGCTAATTTTGATTATTAAATTCGAAAATTTGAATTTTAAAAATATATATTATAATTTTGCAATTTATAATAATAATAATCACAAATTCTCAAATGTATAAGTTTAAATTTTTTCAATCCCTATTTTAAATTTTTAAATTTTATAGAAGCGAAATTTTGAGTATAAAATTGAAAAATTTGAATTTTAAACATATATACATATATATATATATATATATATATATATATATATTTACATAAAAATTTTGAGTTTTGTATTATTTATTAATATCCACAAATTTCAATATCAAAATTTTAAAAATTTAGGTATAGGTATATAGGTTTTTAATTTAAGTTTTTTTTTAAATTTACAACTGAAATTATAAAATAAAATTTAATTTCTTTCATTTAAATTACGTTGCTTGAAATTTTTGACAAACTGATTTTAATTTTAAATTTGTTTATATTTTTATATAATTTAAAAAAAATGCATTAATTTTTTTTAGACTTTAAATTTCTATATTGAAATCAAATTGAATGTTCCATATCAAAATTTGTAAAAATTTAATTTATGAATGTAACAAACATAAATTGTATTTTAGTATTATATTTATATTTTAACTGCTATTAAAATTTTGCTATTTTAGGAATTAGAATTCTAAAATTTAAAATTCATCGTCATTATTAATTTAGAATTGAAAATAACAATTTAAAATTTTTAAATATTCTTTGAGTAAATTATAGTTTTGCAAAATGATTTAATTGTCTTTATGAAACTAAGCCACAAGAAAAATAAATTCAAACAATTTAAAAAAAAATATTGCAAAAATATTTGTCTAGAGTAAATAATAATAATTCCAAATGTTAATAAATTAATAAATACAAATTCGATATTTTTTAAAATTCATTTACATTTTATATTTTCATACACTTTTAGAACAAAATAAAAATAAAATTAAAATATAATTAAATACCTATTTATATTTTTTTTGCATAACAAATACATATTGATACAATAAATGCAATAAAATAAAATAAACAAGTTCTCGAAAGCCATCACAGATTGCACCAGAATTTATTTAGGGAAATATGTTAATAATAAATATATTAAACGTTTAATTGAATTGCGGACTATCTAAATGCCAATATTAAGTTTCTCTAAATCTTTTAGAGAATTTTTTTTATTAATTTGGAAACAATTTAATTGAATTGCGGACTATGCAAAACATTCATATTAAGAGCTTAAATTGTTAGATGATTTTGTTTTATCAATTTGGAAGCATGTAAGCCCTTCGGAGCAAAAAAACTCAAATTATCCATATCAAGGACCACCTTAATATATATATATATATATATATATATATATATATATATATATGTTTAATATATATTTGTGTATATATATATATATATATATATATATATATATATATATATGTATATACAATTTCTTACATTATTTCTGCAATCTACTTGAGCCCCAATTTTCAGGGCTGTTTTAACAGTAGCCAAATCGCCTCTAAGTGCACCCTCATGTAAAGCCAAAGCAAGTTCTCGTTCTTCACTGCTTTTGAGGGCCTCTTCTTCGTCCATCACTGTTCTTGATAATTACAAAAATTTAGACGAAAATTTGCAAAAACTGAGCGCCATTAGTATAAAATATCTGTTGGGAACAAATCTTGGTGGCAGCGGGTGGACTGAAAAAAAAATTAATTAAATTAGATACAGATTTAAATAAAATAAAATGATATTAACTAATATAGATTTATTATGTATTATACTTAATATAAATATTTTTTTTTCTACCATTTTCTACTGAGTTTGGTATATTTATTATATTTTCCGTAAAAGTCGTTCCATTCGTCCTCAATACAGTTTTATTGGCGCGCGATCATTAAGACATATTTTATACGATTTTCCTCGGGGAAATCAAAACATTATATTTGTACTGATATTTTTACGACTACCCTTCCTCCTGATGGCAATGGTATTATTAAAGGAGCTTTCAGAGCTTCAATAAAAGCTCATTTGGCGAGAGCTTTACGGGCTTGTCGGTACACTTTCTCTGCGATTTTAACGAGGACGATAGAAATCGTTATGTATATATATATATATATATATATATAAATATATCCAATTCCTATATATAAGAATGGGAAATGTGGGCATCATAATCATAGTTTGCATAAAATCTGCTTGTAATAAAAAAATTAACTTTATATAAACATGCTTAAAGCACTACATGCCGTAAATAGATTATTCAAGTTAATGAAAAAAATATTTTGCTACTTATTCTTATAAAATTGTTATTTTTTTACATGCTTTCGACATTTTAAATTTAATGCAATTGTTATTTATTTGGAGTTTTGCATTCATGTAATGAAAAAACATTAGTTCACTTTAACACAACATTCAATATGTGATTTAAATTCTATTAGTACTATGTATATATATATATATATATATATATATATATATATATATATATATATATATATATATATATGTATATGTATTACTAATAAAATTCAGAACAAAAACTGTTTTTTGTAAAACAATATGGTATACAATAGATCTAAATAACTTGCGAAACAAATTTATATTTAAAATATCGTTAAAATTTAAAATTCAGAACTTGGGCTTGTAATTACGTCCCCAGTATCGCGGTACAAATTTTTGATATTTTATTTTTTCCCCATAAAATTTATTAAGGTACATATATATTTTATTATATTATTAAAAAGCTAATTTATTAGTCTAAAAGTTATCGTTAAAAATTTGATAATATTTAGAACAAAATTATTAAAAAAAATATTTTCTAAATAATATTTACTACATATATATTGAAAATATGTGATTGAACTGTATATTGATTTTTGTAACATTTTGTGTAAATATGTTAAAAATTTATTTTAGTACGTATACATTATTTCATATCATTAGAAATAAATAAAACCATCTATAAATCTGTATATATAAGCAAATAACTCGCAGAACAAATTTATATATAAAATAAATCGTTAAAATTTAAAATCAAGTTTTTTGGTTTTTATTTACGTCCACAGTATCGCGGTACTGTATTTCCTTTATTTTATTTTTTTCGCATAAAATTTATTAAGTTACATATATATTTTGTTATATTATTGAAAAGCTTATATATTAGTCTAAAAGTTGTGGTTAAAATTTTGATAACATTTAGAACAAAATTATTAAAAAAAGTAATGCCTAAATACGGTTTCCTGCATTTATATGTTGAATTTTGTTACATTTTGTGTAAATTTGTTAAAAATTAATTATAACTCATATATATTATTTTATATCATTAGAAAGATAACAAAATTATTCATAAATCTGTGTATATAAACAATTAACTCGCAGAACAAATTTATTATTTATTATTATTATTTAAAAAAATCTGTAAAGTTTAAAATCAAGTACGTGGGCTTTTATATATATTCCCACTATATAGCGGTACAATTTTTTATATTTTATTTATTTCGCATGAAATTTATTAAGATATATATATATATATATATATATATATATATATATTGTTATTAAAAAGCTTATATATTAGTCTAAAAGTTGTTAAAAATATGATAACATTTAGAACAAAATTATCGAAAAATAGTATTGCCTAAATAAGATTTACTACATTTATGTTGAAAATATGTGATTGAACTGTATGTTGATTTTTGTAACATTTTGTGTAAATATGGTAAAAAATTATTCTAACACATATATATTATTGTATATAATAAGAAAGATAATAAAATTATCTGTAAATCTGTATATATATAAACAAATAACATCCGAAACAAATTTATGCATAAAAAAATTGTTGAAATTTAAAATCGAGTTTTTGGGATTTTATTTTTACGTCCTTAGTATTGTGGTACAAATTTTGATATTTAATTTTTTTTTCGCATAAAATTTATTAAGGTACATATATATTATATTCCTTTTTCGAAAAGCTTATATATTAGTCTAAAATTTGTCGTTAAAAATTTAATAACATTTAGAACAAAATTAGTAAAGAAAAGTATTGTTTAAATAAGATTTACTACATTTATATTGAAAATATATTTGATTGAACTGAAAATTGATTTTTACAACATTTGTTGTAAATATGTTAAAAATTTATACATATATATTATATTAACACATATATATTATTTAATATCATTGGAAATAAAATTATCTTCAATTCTGTGTATATAAACAACTAACTCGCAGAACAAATTTATATTAAAAAAAAACGTTAAAATTTAAAATTCAGAACTTAGCCTTGTAGTTACATCCCCAGTATTGCGATACAAATTTTGATTTTTAATTTTTTTTGCATAAAATTTATTAAGCTACATATATATTATATTGTATCATTAGAAAGCTTATATATTTTTCAAAAAATTGTCATTAAAAATTTCATAATATTTAGAACAAAATTTTCAAAAAAAAGTATTGCCTAAATAAAATTTACTACATTTATATGTTGATTTTTGTAACATTTTGTGTAAATTTGTTAAAAATTTATTGTACATATATATTATTGTATATCATTAGAAAGATAACAGAATTATCTATAAATCTGTGTATATGAACAAATAACTCGCAGAACAAATTTATATATTAAAAATCGTTCAAATTAAAAATTGAGACTCTACAAAATCAATTGCTCTGATTGCGACCGCACTTATGTAGGAGAAAAAAAGAGAAAATGTGAACAAAAACCGTCATTATTATAATTCTTGTTTTTATAAACACTAAAAAATATAAACCATGTTAACTGATCACACTAATAATATAAATCATATACTACAGGTTTTCAAACCTGAAAATCCAACTTAGAAAAAAATTTGTTTAAAATACGTCTTTATAAAAAATGTTTTATTTAAGTCTACTTACGTAACAAATACGTAGTTTTCAAATAGTATTCTGTTTCAGTATTATTTTATCATACTTTTTTTATTATTTCTGAAATAATCTGCTTATGTCAAGAACTTTCAGCAGCACTTTGCCTTCGACGAGAAGAAACTTTTTCGTGTAATCTTTTGCTGCTGCAGCAGCAGTTCCGATCTTTTAAGCTGCAATTTGTTTTTTTGCTGCTGAATAAAATAATAGGGAACGGATTTATAATGAAAAGAAATTAAACGTGCAATGAAATCAGTATTATCTTCAAGAGCTGAAAGCAAATAATGTATTAAAGAATCTTTTCTGCATATGAACATAGAGTAGATGTTCATTTTGATAAAATAATTTGATTTGAAAAGAAATTTGTAAAATTATTAAAATTTATAAATTTTATAATGATTCAAGTTGTTAAAAATTAAATAAATTAATAGGAAATTAAATAACAAAACATTTGAACAAAAATTTATTTGAAACTGATTGAATGCAATAACAATTTTTTGTTTTTAATAGTTTTCGGTGAAGTAAACATCTCGTATATTTTTTTTTGGAAGAGATTTGTTACGGTAAATAAAATTATATATATATTATATTTATATTATATATATATATATATATATATATGTATATATATATATTAATAAATCAATTTATTTGTATAAGGGAACTCATTATATATATGGTGTTGTCAGAGCAAATATCAATTTGATGAACATGGAAGAAAATATCATGATGGCGAGATAATTATTTCGAATAACATCATTTATATATATATATATATATATATATATATATATATATATATATATATATAAATTCCGGAGTTTGTTCTGTTTTCTAATTAAGAAATAACAGATGTTTCATCCAAACAAAATCATTAGCAAAAACATCATTCCAACAAAAATACACAAGATGTTACAAAAGATTCAGACAATATGTTGTTCAAGAAAATAATCTTAATTCTATCGAAAATTATATTAAACCTTTAAGTTTATATATATATATATATATATATAAATATATATTAAATTTATATCGAATTATTTATCAATTTGTAGTTAGATGTCCAATAAAAATATATGTATTAATATTCAAAAATTCATATAGGACAGATTTTTGTGCAGTTTTATTATTACAAAAAAATTATACCTTAATAGGTCCATAGTTTAATAAATAAGCCAAAAAGTAACAAACAATTTTAGTTAATAATATTAGAAATATTACTGTAAATAATTGACATTTGCAATAAATTATTTGAGGCAGATTTAGAAATTCGGTTATAATTACAACCAAAATTGCAAATATTAACTTATTATCTTCACAAATTGTTTGAAGTCAAAAAGTGATTTTTTTAAAAAAATGTTTTAATTTTTTTAGTATTTATACAACCAATAGTAACAATAAAAAATTAATAGATAAATAAAATAAATTAAACCTTGTTCTGTTGATTTGTTTTACATTTTTTATCAATTTCTTGCAAATTTGTTCAAGTGCAATGCATTATTATATATCATTTTAAAGATAATAAAATTATCTATCATCTTATAACAAATATCGTCCGGAACAAATTTATATTTTTAAAAATAGTTAAATTTGCAAATTGCGTGTTTGCGCTTTTATTTATATCTCAAGTATCGTTATGCAAGTTTTTATAATTTATTTTTTTTGTATACAAAATTTATTCA